GATATGAATAAATGGTAAGACATGAAATCGAACCTAAATATAATGTACTCCCTGTGCCTTCTGATATAGACCAAAAAACAAATGATTTAATGCGTGCAGGATATACGAAATATGATTATGAAAAGTGGTATAAAGAAGCGAGAGCAGCAATAAATGAACGAGTGAAAAAATATTATGATAATCCTGAAAATGAGAGGGAAGTTATTGATGTTAACGGTCATATCACGGAATCTATTCCAAGAGGAGTGTATAATATGATTGAGTCGGATGAACTCGGTCGATATGAAAAACGTGTAAATGCGTCCAAGAGGAACAATTTAATACTGAAACGTAATATGGAACGTATTAATAAACGTGCATGGGAAGACGTATTGAAGAAAGACACTTCTGCGAAATCTAAAAGAATAATAAAAGTTCCGATGGTTGCAACTAAAAAGAAGTAAATTAATTTATTCTTTCTTAATCATAAATTATGTCCATGTCGTCGTTTTTCCCTCCAAAAGGCGCGTGTTCTAATGGTAATTCGTCTGAGTAGTCTTCTTCTTCTTCTTCCATAGAACTGTCTTCGTTCGTTTTTCTGTTGAAATAATTCATTCTTTCCCTTTCGTATTTGTTCATGGTTTCTTTTTCGAAATGTCTGAAGTCGTCTCTTGACATACCGAGAGGATTTTCTGATTGATATTCTCCGACTTCTTCATTCCATTCTTCTACCATACTCTCGTTATTTTCTTGCGGTTCATTGAGTATTTTTTTAAGGCCCTTATCCTTTTTAGCTTCTTTAAATTTTTCATTCAGATTTTCTAGGAACTCTTCATCATAGCCTAAAGATTCCATTAAATTGGTTACTCTTGTATAGAATGGTAAATGTTCTATTGTATTATTTGTTTCTGATAATTGTTCTTCCGAAATTTCTTTTATTTCTTCATATTTTTCTTCAAGATCCTTTACAGCATCATAATTGTCTTCTTTGCGTTCCATGTCTTCTTCTGATTTTTCAGATTCGTTGGGATCTTTATACATTTTTTTATCTATAAATACTGTTAGTGAATTATGTCTCCACCAACTATAACCACCATTATACTTCATTAATTCTATAACACCTTCATATTCTTTTTGGTTCAATAAATGAATGCATGGTCTTGCTGTTACTATAACTTTGGAATATTTTATATTGACCATTGTTTTTTTATTTATAGAGGAGGTAATTGCTTTTATTAAACGTATAAGAGATTTATCGTAATTGATATCATCGAATAATATGAATTTATAATGTTCTTCTTCGTCGTAAGAATCGAAAAGAGAATCTCCTCGGAGCATGAAAGTGGGATATTTCATAAAAATTTCTTGGATAGCGAACTCTGTTTTGCCGGTTTTTGTTGGACCCACTATAAAGAGATTTCCCATTCTATACTTATTACCGGATGCACATTTCAGCCATTTTCTTATTAATTGTATTTCTTCCATTTCTTCTCTCCATGGAAAGAGATCACTTCTTGCATATGTTTCTATATCTAAGCGCCTGGCATTTTTTCTCATCCACCTCGCCTTTATCTTACCTTCTTGTTGTATATACTTCTCCGCATTTATATCCAACAAGTTTTTCTCGAGTTCTTTATAGTCTTGATAAGAATCCATGTCATTGAGAGCATTCACCCAAGTCTGTTTCAATTCTTCTCTGTTATCGGGTGTACCTTTTGACATGCCATTTCCTTTTTTTGTTATATACTTAATTATGGCTGAAATGTCTCCTGTGCGCGAGGTGTACGAATTTACTTTAGAATACCAAAATGATTGCTTTGTCCCATCAGTGTGATTTATGATAGGTCTTGCATTAAAGGAACGTGGACGTTTAGTTACTATTAATAAATGCTGATGTGGTCTTGGATTTACTTGGTCCATTTCCACTGGAGATATGTGGGCGTACTGAATATTTGAAGTGGCTCCTCCTAATCTATCTATGATTTCCTTAAATTGTAATTCATTTTTTACTTCATCTCCCCAAAGCGTCAAATATAAGTATCTCGAGGTAAAATGGAGAGGCTTATTTAGGTTTAATGTTTCTTGCATCCGTGCAGTATCAAATTGCGTTGGTTCTCCTTGGAAATCTTGTGAGGACATTGTTTGATAATAAAAATAAAATTGTGAGTTCTATTTATATGCCTTTATGAGGTTTTTGATTGCGTGTAATGTGTTGGTGTTTACGTCAATGAGTGGAACTTGGATATTTAAACCCTCTGAGAACATAAAAAAATATAACATTGTTTAATGAGTAAATCACTTAGAGTACATGACGATATATACTATGATGTTGCCAATATGGACTTAATGGATGTCTATACCGAATCACAGTGTGAACCAGTTGTCAATTCTTTAATGAAGCGAATATTTTATTGTATGAAAGAGCCTCAATATATGGATGGCGTCTAAGAGATGATCCAAGAGTTGATAATGATGAAATTAGGCAGATGTTTAAGAATAGCTCGAGCATAGAGATGTGAAAGATGTC